CACTAAAAAGCGTGAAAAAGCACTAACCAAACATTGCTAAACTGTGTGGACTAGAAAAATAAAACAAAGTAATGAGAATATTCCAGTAGTTTGTATCGCTATTTTATCATTAGAATGCCGATTGTTTTCTTGTCTTGTTGACTGTCACAATTTAATAGTCGCGTTTTGCTTTACAAATTGTTAATGACTTCATTCGAGTCAAATAGACACAAAAGAAAACAATGCAATTAGAGCGTACTAAGTGACCCTTAGTGTCTTAGTTCCTCGCCTATTTCACGTTTTTTTTTACTCCACTTTAAACTACAGTGAGGTCTAAACTGCGAAAAAACTAGAACGATGAAACAGAGTGAAGTCAGTGAGATAGGTACGATTGGTACAACATATCGTGCGCTGAAATTGCATTTTTTTCTTCATTATAAATTGTCTCTTTGATTAACACACGTTAACAGTTAAATCTTATTTCACGGGTTTAATGCCTACAATACAGTTTGATAATAAATTGTAAGTTGTACTGAATTATACTAATTCCTTATCTCTCTCTTGTCTAAGAAAACAATGGAATAATCGCTACAATGATCAGACTTGTTGCTGGAAATAATACTATAAAAATCAAATATTTAACAGTTTCCTAACATTAGACGGCATAAAAGAGTCATGAAAGGTGAGACACTTTTTACTTCAAATTCAGGATGACATCATCACCGATCAAGAAGAAWGGAGCCCAGTACTTGGGATCCCTGTGGCCTTCTTTTCTAATATCATGCATGGCTTTATGAAGACTTACACTCGCACTTTCACCTCGAGTCAGATAGTCGTAAAAACTCACCATGAAGCTGAAAGTCACATTGTCATCGATTGCCCACAATGACGCTACGACAGCGCGAGCTCCGGCCACAAGAAAAGCACGGCTTAATCCAACCATACCCTCAGCCCTGATCTTACCACGACCACTGTAGCAACAGCTTAGCACAACAAGTTGAGCTTTGATTCCGATTTGTTGGACTTCCCTCATTGTCAACAGGTAGTCATCTTCTTCTGGGATTCCTTGTCTTTCTGGTGAGACATTTGGTGATAGCATTATTTCACCATTATCAGAGCTCCCGTGTGCAGCAATGTGAATTACAGCTGATCCCTCGCGCAACTTCTCCAACACAGCAGCTTTGGTAGCTTGCTCACCAGTCAGCGCTGATTGCCCCAGTTTGTAAGAAAGAAAACTGACTTCCCTATTTGCTGAGGGTAGACGTTCAAACATTCGTTTCTTTCCTCTGAACATGACTTCTCCAACACTTGGATCTCCTACAATCAATGCTCCTTTTTGGCTGTGATGATCCACTGAACATTCTTTTAGAACCTTTAATATAGCTATTGATGGCGCAAGGCGAATGCGTTTGGTGTCTGACAAATATTGTCCTGTATTGGGATCCCTGAGGGCAGCAAACGGTACTCGATACATTGGTCCATCGGGTACTATGACAATCTCGTCGTGTCGTACATTTGATATGACAGGTGCAACTAAACAATTGTACAACATTTCAAGTGGGTGTGACGCTTTATCGAGTTTCTCTTCACTGGTACCATCATCACGTGACAGAGATTCAGAAGCTTTATTAGTGACGTGCTCTTTCGATGTAACGCAATCATCAAGTGATCTGTTTTCACAAGTGACGCTTTCTTGGATTTTCATCATTTCATATGCTCTTGTAATAGTGTCAGTAAAGAAACGTTTAATGGAGTTTTCATCATCATCTTTCTTTTCTTGAGTCAATGTTTCTATGGCAGAATCAAATTGTTCCTTTTCAGTTTCTCTGAGCATCAGTGAGTCTTTGGCTAAAACCCACACAGCCAAACTGCTGTTTAACAAGCTGTAATGCAGCAAAGAGAATCCATCATTTGTTAAGATACCTTCTACATCAGGATAGGTTAATGGTCTAGGCGATAAATATTCTTGTTGAATCATACCGTATTTAAAGATCAAGCGATCTCCTAAAGCACGTGCTCTTCCATCATCAGATACTAACAGAGCCTCTTGTGGTCTCTTTGTCTCGATCAACAGAATCGCGAGAAATTTGTAGGTTGCAATGAATTTATCAAATTTGGAGACTTTGAATTGATCCCGTTGATGTAGATGATGAAAAATAAAGTCGAAACAATCAAGTGCCCTTCTCAAGTATTCTTCCGATTTAGCTATGTTATCATCAGTTGCATGACATGCTTGATGTACTTGGTTCTCTTTGTGTAATGAATAGTATACTTGACCCAATTTATAGCATGCTTCACCCTCAAGATCTTTATTGCCAATAGTCGAAGCGATATCAAGACATTTCTCTAATAAAGTTAATGCAGTTTGAATTTGATTTCTGCAATTATTGTTCATAGCCATAGCATGATAAATACTTGCCTCACTATGTTTGTCATTTAATTCTTTAGCAAGAGCAAGACTATTGTCGTATTGTTTCTTCGCCTCTCCGTATCGATGTAATCCCGTTAAGCATCTGCCAATGTTTCGTAAGGTGACCGATTGTGATTTTTTATCATCGATTTCTTTTGAAATGTCTAAGCATTTTTGATAATACACAATGGCTTCTGAATATTTGTTACAATAATCAAGCAAAACATTTCCCTGGCT